CCAAATTTTGACTAGACCATAGCCTAAAAACGCCAGAAAAAGAATATGACACCAAACATAAAAACAGCTGTTAATGGAGACACTTCAAAGATGATTAGCTGTGATTACAATTATTGTTTTACAAAATCTGGACTTGAGGAGGCTGCATACAAATATGTATAAGTTTTCAGGTTTTTAAAATTGAAGATATTTACAAACATGTTCTCAAAAGAACCAAGAATTTCGGTTGTAAAGTGAAATAATGTGGGAAAAATGATAAAGTCTGTAGTTCTTTTGCACTAACACAGCTGCAGAAAGCACTTAAGAACGGTTAATTGTTAAAAACCCAAAGGGAGATCTGCTTAGGCTGCGCTGGTGAGACAATTACTGCTCATTTAGTAGCTGGACTGCATCCAAAACAAAGATGAACTGCCCAAATATATGCATATCCAAGGAAATTAAGGTTAGTCACTCTCTGATGAAGTGCTCTTTCAGATTTGTAGTCAGCAAGAGAATTCCTTTCTCCAGAGGCGGAGCCGTAATACTACGTCATGAGAAAATATGAAAAGCTCCAGAATGCACCTTTGACCTTGAAAAAGAACAAATCAACATAAATATAATCATCTTTGCCAGTAATAAATCTTCAACCATTCTGCAATCAACTTAAAAACGATATTAAACTGATCATTGTTTCATATATCATGTAAATAAAACCAAAAATCAAAATACAATAGAATATATATGCTTAAAACAGCAATACATCCTCAGCATTATTTAAATCCAAGTCTTGAGCTCATTAGTATTTTCTGTAATTTAGATAAAAAACACAGTTAAGTACACTCCAAATGTATTCATACCTCCTAATGTTTGAGGTTGTAACTCTTATTGAGTCTCTACATAATGCTTCCAACCCAAATCTATCAGTATGAACAATGTGAATTAACTTCTTTCATGGAAAAGTTTCTTTGTCTTCCAGTTTGAAGGAGTGCACTGGTACTTTGGCCGTTTAGACCTCGAGGTTGCTGAAAAAAAAGAGAAGAAAAAACTTTCTTTCCCTTGTCTCTCTCTCTGTGTAGTTTTGGTTACAAGGATTGATGTTTAGGCCCAGCAGTCAGATCGATGGATGGATCTGCTGCCAAACTTTTAAAAGCGCTCCAACAAACTTTCCACTGAAAAAAATCCCTTCCTTCCTTTATATATATATATATAAATGATTGATGGCATATTAAATATGTGTAGAATATATAATCCCAGGTTAAACCAGGTAACATTGTTACTTTTAGCCATTTTTTTCTCTTTAACATGGACAAATGTATCCAGAGTTCCCAAATATGTTTTAAGTCATCCCTTTTTAGTCATGAATGATTCAGTTTAGGCTTAAATAATTAATAAAAAGCAGCTAATAGTTAGCATATCGCAGATATCACAATTGTTGACCCTCAGATAATTAAAGCATGCATGCCCAAAGTTGGTCCTCAGGGGCCGCTGTATGGAAAGTTTTACGGTTTCTGTGCTTCAGCACAGCCTATTTCCATTGTTAGCTGATTAACAGGCTTTTGCTGAACTACAATCATCAGAATCAGCTGTGTTGAAGCAGAGAAACCTCTAAAACCTGCAGGACATGTGACAGACTCTGCATCACCATATCAATGCGTTTTTTGTACCATGTTTTTCTCCCACATTCTTCACATTTGATTACCGCTGCACTTTTAGGAATGGAAATGTCACGAGTGTCATGTACAAAACGAAATTTCGTTTTGTATACAATCTACCGGTATGTATACAAAATGACAATAAAAGTTGTTTTAGTCTAAGGATAATGGCCCTTGGGGACTGACTTTGGACATGCCTATTTTAGAGGTTTTTCTGCTTTAGCACAGCTGATTCTGATGGTTGCAGTTGCAGTTGCAGCAAGCGCCTGTTAATCAGCTATTAATGGAAATCAGCTGTGCTGAGTCAGAGAAACTTCTGAAACCTGCAGGGCAATGGCCCTCGAGGACCGACTTTGGGCATGCCTGATTTAAAGGAACATTGTGTGAAATTTTTCTGTTTTTTTTTTATCACCTGTGTATAATTACCTCCACTAATAATCAGATACATTTTAATACTGAAAAAAGAATTTTATATTAGTTTATACATAAGGCTGGTCACCCGTTTGCGTAACGCCATGACAGTCTGACATCCTGACAAGGAAAGTCTGCACTACTACAGCACAATGCAGGACCATGCATATGCAGCTGCACCACAAGAAAGTTTCACCATCCCCAAGAAAATGAAAAAAACTATCTTAAACTAAGAAAAGCGAATACATCATGAAACAAGGATAAACATCAGACAAGCCCTGTCAAGGTGGAAGGAGCTAATTAAGGAGAAAGGTTTTAAAGGAGACACTGAAGTTATCAGGTTTCTCCTTGACCTGTAAACTGTACTGCCTTAGTTAGCATAAAGCTAACTTTTTCCATTCGATTTAATTAAAGTGTTTGTCCTTACTATAGGAGGCTCAACAATAAATCCTGCAAACATTTACCAATCCTGTTGGGTTTAGTGTCTTTCAAAGCCACGATAAACCTCGGCTTTTTGTCTCAGTCAATGCCAGCTTGTAGAGGCTTTACTTCATCATAGAATACATGGTTTAGAAATCGTTCGAGTGAAATATCCCCATTTCTTCCCTTGATGGCAACAATTCTTAAATATACCTAAAAGCGGATGAAGATCTCTAGGTGCTGCTGTGGTAGGCCAACAGTCACTCAACACATTTGAAACACTCCTATTCATAGACACTCCTAATAATAGCTCAAACTAACTATCAGATGAAGCAATCTACTGAGAGCGGCTAGACTAATGGCTAATTGAAGATTTTCATTACAATTTGCAGTTCACTTCGTTCCTGAGAGAACACAGCAAAAGAAAAAAAAAAAAAATAGGAAAAGAGAAGCCGATTGGATCGTTTTTTTGGCTCTTCGGGTAAAAGGCCCATTTTTATTCCCTATAACAGTCCCTGCAGGCTGCTTTCTGTCTCCACGGCTCTGCATCTCTCCACATCCTGATAATGTAATCTATGTCGTAAGGATAAAAGATTTAAAGCTCCCTGACCATTCGTGAGAATATAGTAGCCCAGTGACCATTTTCAAGGAGTTTTACAGGGCGTAATTATCAAGCATCCTTATCTCAATGATTTCTATATGAAGGCTGAGGGGTCCTATGGGTGAGTGGCCATTTTAGAAGGAAGGACAACTGTGAAATGAAGCAGAAGCAAATTGCTCACACCAGCTTAACCTGAAAGTGCTGTTTTTTTTGTAGATAAGCCATTAGTGCTACTTGCTCAGTGAATGCCATGCTGAGACAAAGCAGAATACTTGAGGACAGACTGACTTTACCACTCAGAAGCCCAGTGTCCAGAAATTACCTGCTTCATAAGGCATGTCAGAACCACTAGTCAGAGGGAATATATATGGGTTAAAACCTTATTTATCCAGACAAACCTTTGGAAGGTCAATCAGACTAAAAGTATTGAAAGTAAAAGGCTATTAGAAAGAAAATCTGGCACACAGCAACGGAGCAGCACATCTGAATATAAATGTTTAATAGATTCTAGAGCATGAATTGTAGAGGACAGCTTACAATGGTAAAGGAGAGCTGCTCTTAAGGCTATTTATTATGCTGAGATGATGGTTTGTGACCGAAATTACAAGGTGAATGAATGCAATGCAAAGGATATGGCTGTTTTTTAAGGAAAAAGACAAAAAGAAAACATAAAAATGTCATTCTTTTTTGCATGTTTTTCCAGATGGAGCTAATTAAGAAGTGAAACCCTTTGGATAGTTTGCTCTACCAACAGTTCATAACTGTAAAGTTGAAGATGAAAAAGCTGGATAGTTTTCAAATGTTTGAAAAATAAAAACTAGAGATATATAAAGCGCATCTGTATTCAGCCCAAGTCGATGCTTAGCACCACATTTCTCACAAATAATTTCTCCAGCACAGCCTCAGGTGTTTTTTTTTTTTCTTCCTTCTGTTGCCTCTGACAAAGTTTTCCTCCAGGATTATCCTGCATTGGGCTGCATCCATCCTCCCATCAACTCTAACACCTTGATGGCATTGTGGGGCTCTGCAGCGTGGGTTTTGGATGCAGGCCAAAACACCATGTTTTCCTGTTTGTTCAAAGCACCTCCTCCTAAAATTTGCTGTTTGCTCTAAAGGTCTTCTGCAAAACTGTAAAGGACCCGTCTTGAGGATTTTCTGCAACAATGTTTTCCTCTTGCTAATCCTCCAAAAGAATCCCTTATATGTAACACAATGCAAACCGCTGGCCTCTTAGTTTCTTCCACCTGTGGGGTTGAGCTCTACAGCTCCAATCAGTAGGTTTCTTTTTCTTTACTCACCCAGCCTGTTTAGATGGACAGCCATCATCTAACTCTGCATCAACAGACTTTAATGAATGCCTAAATAGGATTACTGAAAAACTTTGCTTCATCATTTCTTAATAAGCTTGAGAAAAAAATTTACTACCAGATTAAAAAATAAAAACTGCATTTTTATCTGGGATTACCTGTCGGTGTTCTGTCAGATGTGCATACTTGGTCAGTTAAGTTTATCTCTTTATCTCTTTAGTTTTGTATGAAAAATAGACTTTAAACTACCTCAACAGGCATGTATACCTTCAGTCATGTACAAAAAAACGACTTATTACTTTTTTTTGGTGTTATTTTGAAGCGTATGGCGATCTGACCTTAAATAGTTTTTTTGTACATGACTAAAGGGATACACGCTTGTTGAAGCAGTTTAAAGTCTAAATTTCGTACAAAATTAAATGGATAAACGCAAATCTAACATGTTGACTATGGGTATGCTGGTCCAACAGAACACCGGCTCTACTGGCTTAAACCCCCTAATTCCTTTGTGATCTCAAATGAATTAGGAATTTAAACTCAAATGTTAATATTGTTTGTATTCAAGTTAGATATTTTGCTGTTTTTCCTTTGAGCAACAAGAAACACTGCATTCATAAAAAAATTTCCTTTAATTTGAAGTTTAAAATCACCCATAGAAAACAGAACTGCAAAAGTATTGTCTCTGTAAAGTGCCTTGAGATGACGTGTTGTGAAATGGCACTTTATAAAGAAACTGAAATGAAACTGGAAAACGACCCCCAGAAGTGTACCATCTTAGCTTTACTTTTACCAAAATGACATTTATCCAAATAATCTGTTTCCCAGTGTGTGTTTTTTTTTTTAGAAAATATATGCCTTCTGACAACAATATTTACACAATTAACTACAGTGAATAAACTTATTTCAGTCCAAACGATACAAAAGCAAATAACAACATCTTCATTCAGTAACTGAATCCAAATCAGTGCCTTCACAGATTCTTTAAGTCCAATTTTTACAGTGAATCTGGAAATGATATCTCACATCCAGGCGGAATATTTACACTATAAACATGTCAAACATAAGTGACAGATATATTGGAACCAGCAGTAACTGGTCATGTCTGCTGTTCCTGAAGCTAATGCAGCTGGCCTCGTCCTCTCCTCTCCTCTCAGTCTGTTTGATCGGGAATGGAGGGACCAGACTCTGCTTCTCCGCGGGGCTGTTCTTGTCGAGGGTCAGCATCAGAGGGACTTCCATCAGCTGAGGGGTTATCTCCCTGGGAAGCCTGAGCCGATGGAGCCCCACCTCTCTGGAGGCCGATGACAATCACAGACTAGTCAAACGGATAAAAGTCATTAAACCCTTCCAGAGAAGCGGAGAGGCACGCTCCCTTTACTTCAATGCTAATTGTGATAAAACAGCAGGAAGGCGGATGAAGCCTTCCTTCTAAGTGGAACTAATTTAAAAAGTCAGGAAGCTTTTCTTTTTTTTTTCCCCCTAACTCTTAGTTCAGCAAAGTTTTGCTGCTCAGCTGTGAAACTTCATGAGTTCATGACACTAGGCAGTCCTGGCGGGGAGTAGTCAGGGGAACAATTGTGCCAGTCTCCGGCGGATTCAGGAACCACTTCCAGGTCCAGCTCAGGTGTTACTTCAACCCGAGGCGCCGGCTCCTCCTGGCCCAGGGAGACGTCTTGGATTTGACCTGTAAGGGCTATTTAAAAAAGAAAAAAAAAGGGAAATGGGAGTAAATTTGCATGACAGTTGCAGTGAAATAGTCACTGGAAATAAAAGGGCTCTATATGCTGCAGGAGAAGCCCATTAACACTCATTCACAGAGCAGCACTGGCAGCTCTCGGTCTAAAAGAGATTTGCTGGAGGCCATCATGCAAATGAGAGCATCTGTCAAAAAGCAATCTTCCTCTCCTTGCTAAAACATTTGTTTTAATATTTCACATTCTTCCTTTTTTTTCTCCTCTCCCTATGAAAACAACACACACAGAGCAAACTGAGCGTATGAGTTGATAGATGTGAAACAGTCTCATTGCAAGTTGTAAATATGGCAGGAATCATTCAACTTAAAATAACTTAGCATAAAACAACAGTTTGGTTCAGGCTGGGAGCTTGGGATGCTGTTTCTCTGATGCTACTCGCCACACACTGAATTGAATTTCACAGTAGGAGTCGCTTTTATTATCGTTCTGTCTCTTTGCTGCGGATCTGAAACCCCGAATCTAATACTTGCCACATTTCTGGAGGACGAGAGAGAGAGAGAGAGAGAGAGAGCAACAGAAACAAACACAAAAACCAAAGCACAAGCAAATTGATTATGAAAACAGATAACTCCGACAGATAAAAGAAAAAAATACTACAAAAGAGCTCTGTAATACTTAAAAGGAACTCCTGGCTTTTTAAAAGTCTCTAAAAGGTTTTGTTTTCTGCTTTGATCAATTATTTGGTTCAACTTAATGGTCACTTTTTATAATTTAAATGCTTTGAAGGTTTATTTTATCGGGTTAATAGAAAGAAACTAACAGACATTTTATGATATTGGGTCACCAGTCCAATAAAAACAGGTGCTGAGAAAAAAAGAAAATACAAACAGAATCTTATTGTCCCTAAGGAATAAAACAGCACTAATTTCTCAAATGAAGTACCCAGATACAAACAGCATGCTAATTGATCCACCATAGATAAACATACACTGGATAACAGTTTTTACAGCTCTGCAGATGCAAACAGTCCTGTATCCCATGCAGGGCTGGGACTCTGATCCCTGTTAGCTCCTCCTCCTACCAACTTACAGACATTAAAACATCTAAGCCTGCAGTTTTTTCTGTTATGTGGAAGATGAGTCTAAGATGCTAATCTAAACCTGCCTTGAAAACACGAGCTGCAACATTTCTGAACCTTTAGCCTCTCTGATTAACTAATTAGCTGAGCGTGAAATTATACATCAGATTTGGTGAGAAGGTATGTTTTCAAGTTAAATATACTTTGCACTTTAAACAACAGTAAACCTTGTTTGATTTATTCAATCAAATTTAAAGGCAAAGGACATGGAATTCTGCAGTGGTGAACAGGCTCTATGGAACAAAGTGAGAAACAAGCAGACAAAACCAGATCAAGTTGGCGAAAAAAACACTAGAGAGATAAAAACAAAACAAAAAAAGCAAAACACTACTTCTTTGAGAAGTTTGGAAACAATTTCTAAAATCAGCCCTTCCCCCACCAATGATTTTAAATGCATTTTAGTATTGCATTAGTGGAACTTGATGGAAAGCAGCCAAAATCAAATCAACTTAATCATTTGCAAAATAGGGTGTTTTGGCGGACGTTTTTAAATTATTTGCAACAGAGGAAATGCATTAAAGAGGAGGCAGAAACCCAGAGTGTTGGGCACGTTACTTTGAAAAAGCAATTAGGTAGATTACTTGTTACTAAAAAAGGTATCGGCGTTAGTAACTTTCAATGCTGTTACTCCCATCACTGGAAACCCATTTGTCAAATAAGTTCTGATGTAGCCAACATTTACCTCTCCTGACCAGTTTTTTGGCGTTACCAAGTCCCGCGTTACAGTAACCATGTTAATTTTCCATTAACTAGCACTGTAACTAATTACTTTATAAAAGTCAGTAACATGTTAGTCATTACTGCACCTATAACAGATTCGTTATTCGTTATTTACTATGTCTAAATAGGGACTAGAGTTTCCTGGTGTAAGAACATGTGGTGCATGCAACAGCTATGTGCAACTTCAGCATGATCACAGAGGAGAGATGGTGGCAGAGATCCACTGATTCAATGACAGTGTTCCTGCTGAAAAAGAGCTAATTGAAGGCTAAATATGACTGTGATTGATCACTGTGTGCAGGAACATTGGCTTTATAAACGTCTGTTAGAAGCTAGAAGTTAAAGAAGCTCCGTCCATCATCTTAACACTGACTGACAGCTGCTCCCTTTAATCAACACATGTTCGCCACTTTATCACGGCTATAATGTTTTTCCTTGCATGGTTTACGTTTTCTCACATAAAAAATCCTGGGATCGTAGTCACCTGCTAGTTTTTTTCCCTCCTGGATTATAGTTTTTATTTTTGTAAAATAGCTTGAAAAACATTATTTTTCAGCTTTATACCTATTTTATAGCTAATTGAAGGCTGTTACTGTTCAAAAAATAAATTCCAAAAAAATTTTATTTTTATTTTATTATAAACAAAAATGTCACCACATCTGCATAATCATGCTGCAACTCACGTTAAAAACCACACACACCAAAATAGTGCAGATTATTTTTAGATGTATCAGATGTGCAAACAGTTTACTTAATTACTTCACTGCTTAATTATTAACAACACCTTATATTCGATAATTGACCCTCTAGTACAGGGGTCTGCAACCTGCGGCTCCAGAGCCACATGTGGCTCTTTGGACCCTCTACAGCAGCTCTTAATTGTGACTAGAATGTTTAAAAAAACCTAAATAATGTACTATAAAATAAATACCAGCCTTAAAAGCTTTAGTGGTTTTATAAGATGGATAAGAAGGACATTAAAAGAACCAGAAGTATGCTTTTAGAGCCATTTTTCTTTTAATTAGCTTTTAATTAGAGTTTATTTTAATAATATTTCAAAAGCTAGAAATACATAAGTTGTTGGTTATTTATGATGACAACAAATTGCCTATACGAGATATTAACAACAAAAAATTGGTTGTTTTTTGAAAAAGTCATACTTTGCAGCTCTAATCAACTTTTACTTGGTCAGACTCGGGGCAAAATGGCTCTGTGATTATGAAAGGTTGCAGACTCCTGCTCTAGTAGAACGTAAAATTCCAATAACAAGAAAGTTTTCCAAATTCTTTGACAATTTAAAACTTAAAAAGTAAATACATAGCAACTTTGGTTGGTAATGAGTTTTATTAATTGAGCAGTATCTGAGTCATTAAAGCCTTCTTCCCACTGAAAATGGCGCGTTAACGAGTGTTTGATGGTCGATGCTGCCACCAGTGTGACAGAAATCAGGAAAGTAAACTGTGAAGAGCAAAGTTTAAAGGCTGATTTATACTTCGAAATTAGGTCCTCTGCATAGGTGTCATGGTGAACACAGAGACGTCCCTGCCCCCTCCGCAGACACTCTGCTGCACCTCTCCCAAATTGTGGGTGTCCGCAGACAGGAGGCCCTTAAGGAAGCCAGGGAATAGTCAGTGTGCTCTATTGTTTTGCTCTTTTGTCCTTCCAAATCCCTCGCACCAGTGCTGCTACATGTTTATCGAATCTAAACAAGGTTGATTCGGGTTGTTAGATCAGAAGCGACTGGCGCTGCGTGTCGTCATTGACCTGGATCTGGTGTTCCCCCAGCATGCCAATCGGAGGTGTTTTTAACGCGGGTTTCTTGCTGTGTCGTTTGACACATGAAGACATGTGTCATTGAGCTGTTCCCACTGCCACTAAAAGTCCTCTGTTCCAGGCTTAAAATGTTTTTTTTTGGCCAGTAGGAAAGGGGTATTACTCAGTTACTTTTTTGGAGAAGTAACCAGCAACGATAAATAATTACTTTGTTGAAGTAACTTACCGAACACTGCTCATGACTGATCAGCTGTTTCCCTCACCGGCTTACTTAAAGCAGCACTAGAATGATATTTCTTTCTTTCTTTTGACATCTCTGGATGACATGAGCTATCACTAATACTAGCCGACATGACAAAGTAAGTACAACTCAGCCAATGGCAACAGATTTTGATCCGTTACTGAACAGCCGTTTGTGCTAGCTAGTTAACTCTACTTCCTGTTTATTACAGCCAAGTTTACCTAAACATATGTCGACATTATGCTTCACAGCAACTTGTTAATTTCTTCCAGTGGATGGAAAAATTAGCAATTTTTTTTTACATTTTAAAAGTTTTCTCATAATTTGTATGACTGGATGAAAACACGGCTGTAAATGACATCACTCCTTGGTAAGGATCTTTACCATATATTCTATAGAATAGAGTACCAGTATCATTGCACTGTTACACTCAAACAAGGGTCTACTTGCATTCTCAAACTAATAACAATACAATGTACCCCTTTTATCTTCCTCTTTCAAGTTGAAAGAGGAGGATGTTAAAAGGGTCTTCCAGTGTCAAAATGGTAAGAGAGCTCTTGATAGCGTCTCCGTATCTAGGTGATCCCCATCTTCAGCCACATCTTTGACAGGTTTATGAAGCAATGTAAGGTTCCCTTTTTTAAAATCTTCAGTATGAGCCCGCAGCTAATAAATACACCACCAGAAGCTCAAATGACTACAGGCCTGTTGCTCTCATTCATGTCTGTGGTCATGAAAAACTTTGAGTGATGAATCGCTCTGCTTTTCTTAGGGGGAGTTTATGGCTTTCTGCCAAATAGTAGGCAATCAAATGAAATACAGCCACGATCACAAACAATTACAGGCTTTTAATGAGGGGATGTATGAGTCACAAATCCAGGAAGATTGAGTAGACTGATTAGCCTAATATGCAGCCATCTCTGGCCCATCCAGACTGGTGTGGTTTATTTGTAGTAATTTTGGTTATTATGTAAGAGGAGTGTTTTAGTAGAGTTTAAAAAGAAAAATGTACTTTCTTTTCTTCCCTTATGTTCAGCGACCTCATTATTACTTTAATTAATCAGTATTACCAATGCATGCTTACAAAGATAAACAGCATAGCTGCTCGATCTGGAGTACTGGTAAAA